CTACGAAGCTCTGGACGTGATTGCGGTCAGGTTCATGATGCACGTTGGGCTGTAACTGCAGTCAGATTCATTTTGGAAAGCGCTAGCGTGAGTAAGTCCGCAGGCTTGGCTTCCGCAGTGCAAGTTTGTGCAGGCCTGAGAGTAGGCAGAAAAGTTCCACCTTCACCGCAGGCTGCTACGAAGCTCTGGACGTGATTGCGGTCAGGTTCATGATGCACGTTGGGCTGTAACTGCAGTCAGATTCATTTTGGAAAGCGCAAGTGTGAGTAAGTCCGCAGGCTTGGCTTCCGCAGCGCAAGTTTGTGCAGGCCTGAGAACTCGGTAGGCAGAAAAGTTCCACCTTCACCGCAGGCTGCTACCGTCTTCACCCGAATAGAACGCCCCCGGTCATTATAGCTGCTGTTTTTGGTGCAACTTTCAGTCTAGATACAGCGATAAATCCGATAATGACCGGGCGTTCTATTCGGGGGAAGACGGTAGTACGCGGTCCAAAGCTCTGCACCACGCACCCGTCCAGCACGGTGCAGTCCAGTCCCGTCCACTCCGGTTGGAGCACTTAAGCCACCAGCTCACGCGAACCTAAAGTAGCGCTCTTACCGGTATATTATGCGGTATGAGCACATGTCTTCGGGCCCGGGCCCTGGGGCGGTCAAGAGCGCAGCAGTCCATTTTGAAAAGGCGCAATTTTTTTGCAGGTTCGCGAGCCTTTGAAGGCAGCTTCATCAACCTACCGTCTTCACCCGAATAGAACGCCCGGTAATTATCGCTGTATCTGGACTGGAAGTTGGCCCAAATACAGCTATAATGACCGGGCGTTCTATTCGGGTGAAGACGGTTGGTTCGAGTGAACTCCTGGTTCAACTGCGCTGAGCCTGAATATGGTTGAGTTGCTCCTAACAGGATTCACCACACAGCTCTGCCGCCATCACGATCCCCTGTGGTCGCCCTCCTCACCAATCTTCTTCCCATTCCTCCCCTCTCTCGCGCATGCGCACACACGTGCACGTCCGAAACTCTGTGTGTGCATGTTTGTGGGTTCAAGAAGTCTCCGCAGGTCGTACTGCAGCATGTTGCGCAGAAAGGTAGCATGCGCATAAACAGCACTGGACAAGGAGCCCGCAGCCAGGAATGCCCATAAAATGAATGAACGTAACATAATGTCATGCAAACTTGTGAAGGCCATAAGGCAACAAAACCGCAAGCCAAACGGCAGCAAGGCACATGAAGTCAGAGAAGCAAACGGCAGAGAGGCAACAAGGCATTGGACAACAAGCGGCAGCAAGGGACATAGGCTGGAGGGCAGGGGGGGGGAGGCAGGGGGGGGGAGGCAGGTGGGCAGACAAACAGCACAAGGCGGTGAAGGAAAAGGCACCTAGCAAGAAAGCAGCAAGGCACAAAAAACAGCAGACAGAGAAATACAAGTACAGAGAAAAACACAAAGCGATAAAAAAAAAAAAAATAAAAAAAAAAAAAAATGATGATGATGACAGGGCAAAGCTCTTTGGAAGCGAGTCACAGATGCCACTTTCGCAGGGAGAGATGGTTGATGGAAGGCCCAAAATTTGGGGGGTTTCGCCGCATCGCCACAAGCAAGCAATGTTGTCGAAAATTTTGCCAACAAACAAGATCAAGTGTAGTTTCTGTTCTGATCAGTTTAATATCTGATCCGTGGTCCATTGGGCCACTAAAAAAAAAAAAAAAAAAAAAAAAAACAGGCAAAAAAAAAACGAAAAAGCACTTGGTATAAAACCCTATTCGGAGTAGTTTTTGTAGTTCGCCACATTTTTATTTGAATTCGGTGTTTTTGACTTTTCCGTTACTGGTCCAAATACGTCAAAACTGAGTACAGATTTACCCCTAAAGCACATACCATTTCTCGATTTATGCGTGTCATCCTAAAGCACATACATTACACACACGCACACAAATTAAGACAGTACGCGCTTCTGGACCATCTGGAAGAGGAGATGCCAACAGACAATAGCAAAACAACGAATGCACAAGCACGAAGCAAGGGACATCTACCAGGATCTTTCTTAGAGACAGACATCAGGGCACAGGCAGTGGAAGCGAGTAAGGAAGCAGATACAGCAACAGCCAGATCAAGCCCAGCAGTTAGACCACTACACTACATGGCCCCCGCCAAGTTGAGAGTCCGATTGAGCCAGTCGGAGACTCGGGAAAGGGAGTCGTCAGAAGGGACAGCAGGGAAGCATATTTGTCTCACGCCGTGGGGTGGGTGGCGCCAGGTCCAGCCGCGCACAAAAGACAAAAAATCCGCGCCCCCCCCCGGCGGGTCCTGTCCCGACTCCTCTTAGCTTTTCGGAGAGGCTCATCCTAATTCTCCAGATGTACTGGTGTTTTACGACGTTGTGCCGACCAGGCGGTGCTAGGACAAGGGAAAGTGGCGACTATTGAAGGACCCAGTCTCCTATTTCAATGGGCCCCAGCTCTAGTTACGCAAACCCAGCCGAATACTGAAAACAGCAGCTCATGGGGTCGTCATAGGGTCGTCATACGAGAGGTGGCTTCAAGCGCGGTTCCATGCAAGAAAAGGACTTCAACAAAAAGGTAGACAGGGCAATGAACAGGCAAAGTGAGGAGGGGGGCGTCTACAGCAAGAAGCAACGGAGGGATTGGGGGTAAGGTTCAAGGCTGAGCTAGGGTTTAGGGTTGAAGCAGCAGGAGTCTCTGCGGCTTCAGAAGGAGGGGTTTTGTCCGGTTGTATCAAGAGGATGTCACTACGGTTGGTACACTTCTGCAGCAAGGGTAGTTTTGCCAGGACAGTGTAGGCAGCGAAGCAGCTGAGAGGCTGAGGGTTTAGGGTTTGGGGTTTAAGCAGCAGTAGGCTTGGCCGCGGCAGAAGGAGGGGGTTTTGTCTGGTTGTCTCGTCAAGAGGATGTCACTACCGTTGTTACCTCTCTGCGGCAACGGTAGTTTTGCCAGGACAGTGAAGAGGTTGTATTTTTAGGAAAATACTGGTAGTAGTGCAAGGAAAATGAGCAATAGCGAACTTCAGAAATCAAACAGCATCATACACATGAGACCAGATAGTCATGATGTAGCATACCAGAAAGTGAAATGCACTGAGAGCCTAGGATCTAGCAATGACAAAAGTGGCAACAACCAGCAGCATAGGTGCAACATTCACAAGATGTCAATGTGCACGGTGCAAAGGGTGAACCAACGAGAAATCAACAACACACATTCGTATCATTATCATCATGGGCTGGGAAGCAGCGCA